GGAAGACATGTCTATTAAGAACGGCGAACAACCCGTCGAGGATGAACCCGTGGAGACGCCAGACGACGAAACACGTATCTATAATGCTGCACTCGACGAGGCCTCAGAACTGGTCTGGCGGCATCAGAATGGAGTCCGCCCTCCTGACAAGGACGCACCGTATCGGTACAAGCCTCACCTCAGAAAGAACAGTTATGCTCATGCTCGCACCGCAAGCGTGAGCAAACATGCCGACGGCGCCCATCCATCCGGCCTCGCTAGGGACAAGTCCAGGTCAGTTTCTGGCAGCTCTACCGACAGCGATGGTCACTCTCGGCGAAGTCGACCTTCCTTGGCTTTGTCACGGAATAGCGTTGGGGGGGAGAGTCAGAGTCCCGACCGGCCTTCGATGGACTTGGGAACTTCAGGGCCAGCCGGTGCCAGACCCCTTCCGAAACCCAGGAGCTCAGGGCAGCGTCGCAGCAGTATGAAGCGGAACATCAGCGGCGAAGTTCAAAGGCCATTTTCCGGTGATCAGATTTGGGAAGAGCCAGAAACCAATGCCCGGGAAGACAAGGCCAGGACGAAGCCAGCGTCGGCAGCAGACTTACCTCTGGTTGACAAACCAGAGAACCCCCAGAATCAAGTCCGATTTGCTACAAACTCACAGGCGGACCGCGTTGGACCCTGGAAACCCAGGTGCAATGTCGAGATTCAACGGAACCCACCGTCTCAGTCACGCAACCCACAGTACACCATCAACACTTCGGTTCCGAAGCCTGTGGTGGACGACCATATCCCCAAGAAGAACGGCATGGAGATACGCAGTGAAGATATCCGAGGGGCCACAAGTATGAAGCTGAAGGACCGCAGCGCGAAGTTGCCTACACCCACGGCTGTCAGTGATCGCCCTGGTCGGCCGATTGTAAGCTTCGACTCGAAGTGGAAGGCTCCAGACGAGAGAACTGATGCTAGGCCAGGAGCCGCGAGCCAAAACAACCAGCCGATGGAAATTCCTTCTATCGTGGTGGCGTCGGAGGAGCCTCCGTCGGACAGAACACGCAGCAACCCGATCGTTCCGGTCATAAATATTGACGGGACAGATGAGCCACCTGCTTCTAATCCTGGTATTCCTTTCATAGTCACTCCCGACGACGATGAATCTTCGAATCCGAAGCCGCGGCCCTTGCCTGACCCCAAGACAGCATCCAGAGGGCACCCTTTCCGGCGCCCGCAACGTCACTGGTCACCAGCCCCTGCCACTAGCAAACACTCAACCGCTCTGTGTCACGAATGCGCATTCCCCATTGAAGGTAGATTCGTCGCTCTGGGCGGATCCTCAGAGCGCTTCCACCCCCAGTGCTTCAGCTGCTTTGCTTGTGGTACTGGTCTAGAAGCCTTGGAGATTAGCCCAGAGCCAGAAGCTCATCGCCAAGAGCGCCTCGACAGAATTCAACGTCGCGCCCATGGCGAGGTGTTGGAAGAAACGCCAGGCAAGACCATGGCCGAAGACGGTGACGAGCGCCTACGTTTCTTCTGTCATCTTGATTGGCACGAACTTTACGCACCGAGATGCAAACACTGCAAGACACCCATTCTCGGGGAGCACGTTGTCGCTCTGGGAGAGCATTGGCACTACGGACACTTCTTTTGCGCGGAATGCGGCGATCCATTCGAGAAAGGCATGACTCATATCGAAAAGGACGGGTATGCGTGGTGTGTCAACTGTCAGACAAAGAGGACGGAGAGAAGGGCGCCCAAGTGCAAGAAGTGCAAGACTGCTGTCATCGGACAATACATTCGGGCGCTGGGCGGTGAGTGGCATGATGAGTGTTTCCGCTGCGCTTCTTGCCAGGGCGGTTTCGACGACGGCCAAATTTTTCCTAAAGAGGTTGGTGACAGGGTCATGGTACTATGCACAGGATGCCGCATGATAGAACTCAAGGCATAACGATGTAAACGAGCAGACTGCAGAATTGGGCGTTATTTTGAGTTGTCTAGGATAGGAGTTAGGATCAAGGAATAGGGGAAGCGTTTGCGCTTTTGTTGTCGATTAACATTCTGTATTGTTTTCAGCTTGAGTAATGGCATAGCGTTTGGCTGGATAAGGTACTTTAGGGGGAAAGGTGAAGAACAAAATAAAGTGGTAAAAGTCATAATCGTCATTGACTGTCTTCATATGGCCCTATTAGGAGAATCCGTTGCATCCATGTACGCCATTTGCGACAGCCGAGGCCTTCTCAAGAAGCAAGAAATCCATCGCTCCTTCGACTACTCCCACCATGTATTTTCCCGTTATTCTTGCCTCCATTTGACTACAGGGAACCGCCGACCTGCTCCTGGTGCACCTCGAGAGTGTCTCCATCCGCCATCTCGAGCTGATAGTGCCACTCGCGTTAGTATCGCATACAATGTCGGAGGCAGCCGCGTCGCCAACGCTTACCGTGTCTGGGGTATCCGTGGGTTGGACACGCTGGCCCTCGAAGAGGAACCGAACAGAGTTCATAGCCTTGCCTTGTCTCTCGCAGAAGGCCGTCATAAGCTTGTCCAGCTTGGTCGAGCGCTTGATCTTGAAGAAGACTTCATTGTTGTTGTCGGTAACCTTGATGTTCAGGTGCTCGACGGCGGGCGGAGCATCTTGACCGCCAGCAGACGGGCTTCCGTTCTCGTGTTCGCCAGACATTTCGTGATTATCGCTGACAGGGTAAAAGTCAGCAACGGCACAAGATTGTCGTGGGTCGTTTGAACTTTGGAGGGGTCAACGGGAGTGGGTTGATAGAGGTCGAAGCAGGGATATATTGCTGATGGATTGGTGTCCACCTACTTTGCGCTGCAGGGCGTATTCGCGATAGTGTGAGAGATCGCACGTGTGTGGCTGTGAAAGCTCGAGAGTTGGGCTTGTGAAGAGCGCGGAAAACAAACACGCGATATTGTGCAGAAGGTGACTTGTAGAGTTGACGAAAGGCGGAAGGTGGGGAGCGGTAGTAGGAGGCGCAACTGAGTCCGAAAGACAGGCGCTCTAGGTACCTACAGAGGTCGGCAGAGACACTGGGCGGAAGTGGGATGGGAGGCGACTGATTGGACAAAGTGGAGCCAGGATTTTCTAAGGCTTACCTTAGGTAGGTATTACACCTTCTCACCCCAGATGTCGCCTGCCTAAGCCTCAAGGTGATAGTGAAACTTAAGTCAGATACCTTCTTTCCTACCTACACCAACACCTCAATTTAGGTACCTTACCTTACCTTAGTTTTCATCTGAATATTTGCCCCTTCCCAGAGTTTCGTGGAACTCATACACGTAGGTCGGTATTCGAGCATCCTCCTTTTTGTCTCCCGTCATTGCATGATTCAGGTGCTCTATCATTAATAAGCATATTTGAGAAACAATCACGAGGTTGAGACTCAATGCCCATGCTGGCTCTTTGCTAACATATTCATTGTCCACCAGGACCGGTCGCAACTTCGACGTTTGGCCTTGAGCAACGCTGCCGTTACCGATCGTCATGGTAGACTCTCCGACACCGCGTCGTGTTACGATGTAGCTGCTGACAATCCAATGCAAGGGTCAGAATGAGGACCTGAAGGCGAATCCGCCCTGCCATCCTCGTGCTGTAGGTCCATTATCCAACCCATGAATCAACTTAACAGATCCAGCGCTGACCTAGTTCCGCGCAGTGCGCTATTCAGGGTAGGTCTTGATCATGCAATTCTCCATGGCTTCGTTACGATTCAAATACCAGGTGCAAGGCTGAGTCGGCATTATTAAATCTGACTTGGGCTCGCAGATTGCTTAACCAAAAACGGGTACAAGGAGGAGAAGTGCCAGTCGGTGATTTTGGCTTTGTACGAATGTTGCGAGGCTTTTTACCAGTCAAAAGGAGACAGCGCTACGTCGGCGAGCTGTCCCAAGCCAGATCTGCTTCGACTGAAACTGTCGAGAATACGTGAGGAGTCGCGCGAGGCCGTTTCCCAAAAGTAGCCAAAGGGATGCTGAAATGTACACTCTTCCATAGATATACGTTAACCCGAGTAGAGAAATCTGGCAACATTCAAGAAAGAGGGAATTCTTCTAGGCATTCGTTGAGCGCGCTGAGAGACCCCGTAGGATCTGAACAAGCATTGAGTGCTTATTCCGAGACTCTAATACAAAAGCCTTGACATTGAAGAAGAAAGAGAGAGAAAATTCAAAGAAAATTTCCAACTGTGTGTGTTGATAAAGGCTGCTAAAGCGGGTCCATACTGTGTTTTTACATGTATTTACACAGTCAATCTCTGGTCTGTCCAAGGCATAGGTCTGGAATAGGTATGCACACAGTGTTTACTCCTGCCCAAAGTTTTGACGCGACGCGCGCATCTAGGTACTGCGCGCACGGGCCAGCTAGGCGCTAGCTTGCCTTTCGCCTGGGACGCCTGTCGCTCCCGGCGCCGCAAGGTGAGGTACCTTAGACGCCTCATTGAGCTGCCAGCTGGTTTGTTTTCATGATTTTTTTCCCGGTAGGATGGGAGGTCTGATCAACTATCCCAATCCCACTATTCGAGTCTGTTCCTCCAGCCTATTTCCTTTTTCCTCTATCCTCAGAGTCGATACGTGGGAACTTCTTCAATCTTGTCGAGGGCCTGGGAAAGTTTCTGCGCGCAAGGGCTTCTTAGGTTGCAGCTAGTTACATCTTTGGCGCTGCAAAGCACCTTGCAAAGTCATTTATGCCGCAGCATCCATGACTTGATATCTCCCCGGCCTGGAAACACAGACGCCCACAATCATTGACAGATTGTAAGCAGACGAGTCACTGCATAGTCTCACTTCGTCCGCAAGTTCTGTTTTGGCTAATCACCACCCACTAGGATCGCATCGGGACTCCATATTTACCCTGGTCCCATGCGCAACCTTGCCGACGACCAAAGATCGACCATTCCACATTGAAGTTAACGAGGCGACCGGATACCTTCTGTTCCTTGTGCGCAAACTTCCGATCAGTATTCCCCTAGATTCCGTTCCCTTCGACAACGATTACATTCCCGAAAATGGACGGAATCGGGCCTGAAGTTGAGGTGTTCGCGAACATCCTCGACGATTGCCTGGCAAACCAAGGCACCGATGAGGACAAACGCGCAAGGGTCTTGGGGCTCGTAAACGCATACAACGATTATGCCGCCGAAAAGCTTTCGCAGCTGCGCAAGCCACGCCGTCAGGGCTCAATTGGCGACAATGAGATGGACCTGGACGATGAAGAAGAGGCAGAGGCTGCGGCAGATTCAGAAGAGATTCGAGTATGGGAGCAAGAAAGACAGACATGGGATCTCGTTCGTCGCCTTATCCCGCTGAGATATTCTATTCGATCTTCGACGAACCAGGAAGCTACGTACAATGGAAAAGATTTGTGGAGGGCATTCCTTGCGAACGACCAGTTGGCCACAGAGAGGAAGACCATTCTCGAATGGTTACAACAAGGCGCGAGAGCTGGCCCCGACATCGACGACCTCGTACGAGATCTCCAGCAAAACGCTGACAGAGGAGACATCATCGCTCACGGTTGGATACACACAAGGTCTGCCATCAAGTTGCAGAAGAGTGTGATTGGTTCTTCACGCCCGCTTGATGTGCATTTTCCGGAGGTCGCACGCTCTCTAGTCAACTCAGACAAGGCGCCACTTGTTGCCGAACTAGACCCAGACTCTGTGATCAGACAGGGTCGCAAGTTGGAGCCACAGGATGAGTACTTTGAGAGGGCTATTTGGGTAGGCTGCTTCCAGCTGCTTCGAAGAGGCTGTACTGTGGAGACTACGCGGGAGTGGTGCTTGGAGAGGACGGAGGTCTGGAGGGCTGTATCCATGTCCGCCTTACCTCTTGCAAGTGACCACGGCGAGACCACGCTTGTCGACGACCCTTCAGCGCTTACTCTGTGGAGACGCATGTGTTTTGCTCTTGCTCGCCAAGGAGGTACCGATGATATTGAGAGAGCAGTATATGGGGTGTTGTCCGGAGACATCCCCAGCGTGCAAAGAGTATGCCAGACTTGGGACGACTTCATGTTCATGCACTACAACGCTCTGGTTCGCACGCAGTTCGACACTTTCCTACTCAGCCAATGCTCCCCGGAAGCATCGGCAACCATTCGCTCATCATTCGCTGCTTTTGACGCAGTTCAGTTCCACGGCGATGCCGCCACGTTGGAGCAACGCCTGATCCGCAACCTTGAGACAAGCCCGCACACAAGCAAGGAAGCTCTGGAGCCTATCAAGGCACTACAAGCCGCCATTATCTCCAAAGACCTCCAGCGACATTTCTACGAGCAGGGTGTGGCCATCACACAGAAAGCGAATTCCAAGGAGGCATCTGCGCTCATGCCCGATCACAACTGTCGCAACGTCGACGTAGTGACGGAAAAGTTCGCCGACATCAAAAATCCCGATGGCCTGCGAATTGCTGTTCATGCACTCATCATCTTCGATACGCTTGACAAACTCGGCACTTTGAAAACAAATACCGTAACAATGAGCTCAGATCATGATCGTCGTGAATTGCAAGAGAACACGATTACGCAGTATATCAGCTTGCTCCGACTAGCAGGCTTGGAGGAGTTGATACCACTGTATTGCTCCAGGCTTCACCCATCGAGAGCCTTCCAAGTGTTAAGCACAAACCTACTTCCCATCACCGATAGCGAGGCTCGTCAAGAGCAGCTCACCTTCATTCACAAAGCAGGACTGGACGTGGTGGATTTCGTCAAGGCACAACCACAGTTCTTGTTCCAGACCTTGGACTCCGATACTGCGCAAAACGATGCAATGCGGGAGTTCCAGATCATGGACGATGGCCCGGCGTCCTTGAAGTACGGGCGTTCCATCAAAACAGACTTCTTCGGGGAAGATCCCGAATCCATTGACGCGGTCGACGAGCGCTTGATCCGGTCAGTAGAATGGCTGCTTCTAGTCAGCGAGGCCTGGCCATATGTCTTTTCTATCGGCGTGGCAATTTACAAGCACTTTCTAAGTATGACCCTGCCTTTTCAAGATAGATGACGCCTATCAGCTAACTGGAACCCCATCGAACAGAGACCATGCATTTGAATGCTGCCAGAAGCTTCGCAAATCGTGTGCCATTCGACAGCATTCTGCGCATGCGCTCAAGCGACTTCCCTGAACAAGCAGAAGACGAACTCTGGTGGACGCAAGATGGAGAATTCTGGGTCAACCAGCTCGAAGGCGCGGGTGCGATGGACCTCTCGCCAAGTCAAGTAGTATCGGACGCCAAGGTCTTACGGGAACTTGAGTGTCTCGTCAGAGCCTTGGACACAATGGAGACTGTCGCTTCCCTAGCGGAACTGTCAAGAGAGTATGTCAACCTGACCTTTGGCTACAACATCTTGCTAACCACTTGCAGGGACCCGTCTGTCAAACGAGATTTCTGGGCGAAGGTTGGCAACGAGGTCAAGGCGGCCAAAGAACACGTGCGACCGCTACTGGTTGACTGGCTGGGTGATCAAGGTAATTGCTACTTAACTCACATCTTCCAGATAACTAATCCGTTCGTGACAGAGGATCAAGACTTACAAGCGCTGCGGGAAGCATATCTTCCCGAGACGATCCTCGCTTACATCAGCACGCTCCATTTCGCCGGCACGACGCTGACGAGGGATAACTTTTTGGAGTGTATGGAGCTGGCGGCCACTATTGCGGAGAAGGGCTCCGATGTGGCAGAGTGCTTCGCCAAAGCTAAGCGAATGAAGGAACTGGTCGAGTGTTTTGCTGCCTGCAGCAAAGCTCTGGCCGTTGCATCGGGCGAGAAAAAGGCGGCCAATTCGAGTAGCAAGAAGCTACGGGAAATGGGATGGTCACGGGATCTTTGGTCCGTAAAGCACTGAATTGGGCAGTCTACTGGCGAGTCACAATGTTTGTTAGGAATAAGGAATGGGGATCTGAGGCCTCTACTAGAGATGCGTTACCTCTACATGAGATTCAGCTAGCGCGTGGCTTACCGCTCACGAAGACTTCGGCCGGGCGTGATATGCCTCGAACACACCAAGGTCGTTCAGCTGCCAAGTTGATCAATGCAGGGAGGCGATTAATTACATCGAGACTTGCAGACTCACAAATAAAAGAGTATCACAGCAAAAAGTCTATTGAAAAAACTGCGTATTTCGTACCTCTTGAAGCCATTCTTGTGTTGAGTTCCTATTTACAATTGAGTATTCCGTACAGATATGTGTTTATGGGTATGATATCATAAAACGCAGATGTGAGCTTAACTATACAACATGTACAATTCAGTCACAATTTTAGTTTTGATTGGTTAGTTTCATTCATCCGCTGTGGGGGCACCTGACAAGGTCCTTGCTTAACGTTGTGAACCTCGCACCCCTCTGCCTGATGAACCACAGCCACATTCCGTCTTGTAGAACCACCCCGCCCAACGAACGCTGACATCTCTGTAGTTGGAAGATACCTTGCCTTATACTTTGATCAGCCGACCAAGCGAGTCATTGGCCTGAAGATTTTCCTGGGCCTTGAGAATAAGGATCATCTTGTTGTAGTCTTTAATCGGCTGCGTGTTTATGTCCACATCATGCATGATCCTCCACCACCGGTACTCCCACCCAAGCCGGGTAGCCACGACACAAGTCGTATAGGCACGCCGGTTATGCTCAACTCGCCCCGGCACGGCAACGGTAACGGCACCGGGCCTGATGTGGAGAGTGCAGGTGGGAGCCGTTTGAACCAAGTCTTTCAGCCGGCCGGGCTCGAAATAGCCCGACCTGAGTCTGTGCCTGATCCGGGCGAACATTGGCTTCCCAAGGTGTTGCAAGACAAGGCGTACGTTCCTGGACATGGCAGCGGCATCACCTGCTGTTCGTTGTCTTTCTCCCGGCTGATGATGGTATTAGAAAACATGACCTCGCTGATATAGCGACCAATGTGGACCTGCTTAATGCCCTTGCACATGCACCAAGTACGATTCACCCATCTCTCTCGTCGTCTCATCAGGCCCTTCAAGCGGCCTTGACCGAAAACCTTGAGCTCGCGTCACGGCTTGTGGAACTCGAGGCTCGTCTAGCCCACCAGCGCTCCACGACTCAAGCGCAGCTTCTTTCAACACATGCGCTCGAGCGCCAGTGGCGGCAGAAGCAATCCGATATGGACCACGCGTTAGCACCCTTCTCACCGGCTGCCATGTACCAACGCCTGGGGCAAGGTGTCCATGAGCAGGCCTCGGTATGCCATGTCTTGGAGGAGAGCTTCATCGACGGAGAGGGAGATGGCGCGTATGCGTCGGAGAGAGAGACATTGGACTGGATCAAGAGGTACAGAGACGCCAAGGTACTTTATTATCTTCGTCAGGAGAGGAAGGAGCGGTGGGACGAAGGTCGCGTTGGTGGCTGGAGATGAAATGAGTGCGATTCCAGTACCTGGTTCAGTGGAATGCTAAGTGAAGGTGGGAAAGGAATGAGGCAGTGGAAATCGCAGGAGGTGGTGATCCTCGCGGGTTGGAGCTAACCATACGGCTGTATCGAGAAACGGGAACCAGCACACGAGCACTACATCAATGGCATGCCGGCGGTTCTCTCTGCTGTTTTCTACTCTTGCTTCTCGATGGCGGTATTGGCGATGACAACGCAATGCAAAGGACCACGTCTAGCTAGCAGATATCTGAAAGAAACATTATATGGAATACAAGAAGGAAAGAAAGTACGCAGGAGCAGTAGCCTACAAACTGAATGGTACTCGCAGAAATGGCTAGAAAATCGCTATGACGTGGAGCATACAATTCCTGTCTGTGTCGTTCTGTAGCCCGTCTACGAATGTATGCTACACGCTTTCAGCTACTACTGTCGTTCCCCAGTTTCGCACACACACACACACACACACACACACACACACACACACACGACATACCTCCAGGGGACATCACAAACCCCCTGACTGGGATCGTACTCAAAGTCGTTGAGAGTGGAAATGATGTTGGCCCAGAAGCGATCACTATCTTCAGGCGAAGCTGAAGGGACTCTTTTTCATCTCAGGACTGCGAGGGCTCATCGGGAGTGCAAAAAGTTCCTCCTCCTGGTCCTGTTCTTGCTGTCTCGGATGAAGATCAACCCCTGCGAGCATGGCGTCTAACGATGCCGAAGCTCCTAGGGACAGGTTACCAGTAGTCGTCTCCCGAGCAGGGTGCGAGAAGGAGTGAGCGGCTATGTCATTGGGGACGGGCGAGAAAGACACAGGCTGAAGATGCGTGTTCTTGTCTGCGAGTCTCTAGTTAGTTATGCTTGGTTGATATGTTACGCAGGTTATATTTTGTGAGTCATCTCACCAGCCGAACCAGCAATTAAATCTGTTGCAGAAGTCGCGAGCTTCAGCCCCTTCAGCTTCTCTCCCAGTCGGCTACCGGTCAGGGGTTGAGGAGAGATGGGACTCAGTAGAGTTTCTGAGGCAGACATCGTCCGGCCTTCGACGATGTTATTGGGTTTTGGAACAATACCGAAGTGATCGACAACCCATTGCTGCTCCCGGAGCACCATTTCTAAGCCGACGCTTTCGGTATTTGTCATCTTCTCGGCATCGATCTCTTCTTGAAGTTCACGAAGTCTCTCCTTGGCCCAGATGGTGTGAAGAACCCCGCGTGTTCCAGTATCTAATTCACTGGCAACCAGGCTTGGCGGGAAGATGGCAGGAAGGGGTTTGATGGTGAGGGATGTACCGTCAGGATGAACAATGGAAACGGTGGGAGGAACATTGGCACCTGGTGGAAGTAGGAAGTACGCCCGTTTATGCGTTCCTTTGACATCGTTACTTGCTAGAAGATGGTTTGTCTTGCCATCCCACGAAACCTCCCATGCCTTGGCTGGCGGTGGTGAGAGTTCGGATGCCGGCGAGGAGGAAGAAGGAGATATCGAGGGATCCCATTCTACCATCAAGACTTTGGTGCCCTCATTACCCTTGCCTGCCTCGAACTCGAACCGGGCAAGGGCAAAGGGCGCAGTGTTGGCGGCAGCGTCGGGATTGGTGCTTGTTGTCGGTCCGGGAATATGCACTCCCATCGACGCCACTCGAGGTGGCGATGAAGCCCGAGAACTACCCGGCGTTGCCATCTCTTCGTCTCCTTCCGGTCCTGACCCTATTGTGGTCCGGTGTGAGGTGGGTTTTGCGGACACGACGCGGTGCGGGGCCGGGCGTTTTGCGGCCTGCTCAAGTACCGAGGCGTGTTAAAGACTCAAACTACCCATGCATAGCGTACTTTCCCCGTCAGCACCGGACAGGAAAAGCAGAACGTATTCCCGGCCAGTGGAAACAACCCGACCGAGTCTACCGTGACAATTATTTGCAGCGATTGAGCCGTGGTATGGGTTCTAGGTGATTCACCGACAGTGAAGTCTTGTCTCCGGCAAAGACAAATGATTTGAGACGGAAGAGAAGAATGAGGTGTTTCGCACTGGTGTAGATAAATCGGCACCAACCAATGATTAAGATGAGTTTAAAGGAGGAAGTACCCGGACTTGGTGACGAATGGGATGCGGAAACGGAGATAGAGATGGATGGAATTCGATCAGGTTCGGGCCGTTGTGGCTGAGGAGATTGACGCCACGCGCGCCCAAGAGGATTTTCTTATTACTTGCGAGGATACATATGAAGCATCACTTATTTTCCGAGTATACAATCGAGCGGCCTTCAACTACAGTGTAGGTGTCATGGCGGGAAACGAATTGTGAATCAGCGTTGGAGCAGGGCCGTATACGTGCCTAGGGCATTCGGGCGTATCGCGGCATCCCAAGGTCCCTTTCATTGTCAAGGCAATAGTGAATAAGAGAGATACGGGGGAGACAGAAAACTACGAAGGGGCCTCTGTCTCCCACATCAGCTACCAAAGTGAACAGCATGTATTGTCACTCGAATGGTACGGTTGGCCTTCAGGGCCGTGTGGCTGAGTCGCGTGTGGCTGTCAAAGGGTGACACAAACCCGCCACGGAGTAGTAGTTTGTCCTGACTCCTGACCCTGGGCTCTGGAGCAGCTCAGAGAGCGGAGGAAACGCGGAGTAATATGGAGGGAATGGGTCTGGAGGTACAAACATTGTGTAAATTTTTCGGTAAAGCTGGAGAAGTTTGAGAGGGGAGTTGCAACCTGTGACCTCGGGCGGGGAGAATCCCACATATCCACGGGGCATTCTCGGCCGATGTCGATGCCATTGCCCGCTAGTGTACGGATACTGGGGGGGCTGGCCTGGCCAAGAAATATGGCTTCATGGTCGACCAACATGACGGGATTCAAGTCTTCATCTCACAAACGCAAATGATGATGGCGCGCCACCACCAGACGCACTCAAGTTACGGGTTCTCTTCTCGCGAGCATGCGGGTTATGTCGCTCAATTTCTGCGAGGCTTACATAAAGAGGTGCGGATAGGAAGTTCTTACCCTTGAGATTGGCTCGGGAACACGGAGAGAAGTCTCACAAACGTAAGTAGATGTACGGATACAGTCCCGTATCTGTAGGGTAATATACGGATGATGCAGTACCAAAAGTGGAGCGAGGTGCCTTCCTCATCCAGTATTCCGTAGCGCTCGTGACCTGATGAATGACCAACCGGAAGAACGTTGTTAAGTGCTAGAACGTCCATCTCTTTTTGCTTCAGGACGGAGTATGCCAGGGAGCCGGTAAAACGTTACTCACTAAGGTAGCCACACACACACACTCTCTCTCTCTCTCTCACGCAAGGGAAGTAGAGCGGAGCGGATCATGGATAACGGTACTCAAAGGTAAAGCAATCCACCAACGGCGGCCAGGCGGCCGGAAAACGACGTGAAAGGCTGGGGCCTTTGGGGGGAGATATCAGCTGTGACGAATGCGGAGGGGAGGCAAGGCCGAAGACTAAGAGCCTAAGAAAACAGAAAGGCCGCGGTAGGTCCGAGGGCCGCTCCACCACGCCATCTGGATTTTTTGACGGTACTTACCTTTACAAGCACCTACCTCCGTAACTACCATTTTGCACCACCAATGGCATCGAGGCGCGTACCTCAGTGACTTGCAGTGCTCATGATTGGGCCCAGTCTGACAAGAGGTCGAACTGGTACCGTGGCACCGTAGCATTTACGGTTTACTTTACTCCCCCGGTATTTGTACAATGTCTCCATCCCCCGCTGCATCGAAGGCAGCTTGTCCATCCGAGACAGCGCCTAGCCACTTGTGTCGGTTCCATCGCTTCAACTTCGGTCACTTCGGGCCAATCTACCGTGTTCCATTTGACCCCATGGGCCACGCTCAAGTTGGCACTGGTAGATGTCGGCTTCGGACGAAGTACACTAAGCTCACGAGGGTCGAGGGGTGCCAAGGTCCATCTCTATTTGCCATCCAAGGTTTAGTGTGCACTATGAACATGCCGATGAGGTGCCAGGAACTACGTAGTATGGAATTGTAGATGCAGTGTGGAACACTGTTGAGTTTTGATCTTCTTTCTCTTACATGCGTACATGCTTTTAGGATACTCAGCCCTCGAGGGAATGGGAGAATGGGCAAAAACTCAAGTGATGCAAAAGGTGCGCTCACGACGTACAGTTGCAAGATTCCTTGGGTAGGTTTGTACCTTCGACACCTTTCTTACCTGGACGAATCCACCATGCTCTGTACCCCGATGTGATTCACTGCTTGCTTTGTGGCGCCCTGTGAAGCCAAGCCAACCGTGTGCAAATGGCGAAGGCGAGAAAATCAATGAGCCTATACAGTAGATCGGCAGTGTCGGCGATGCCCGCAGCCCGCTGGCCTTCTCATTCCTGCCGGCTGTAAATTTTAACACTGCGAGAATGAAATAAAACGTGAGTCATGATCAATGGAATAGGTAGATGTCAGTACCAACATGCTCAACATGAACATCGTCTGGTTCACACTACTTTCTAGCACGCTATGCGATTGATAGATCCGCCGATAGAGAAATGTTTCCAGACTGCCACTGTCTGGTCTACCTACGGAGTAGTGCCGATAGACGTGTCTCCGTTGAAGCGTCAGGCATGGGACTGTCTCGGGCCTATTTGGTAATCGGTCCTGGATCATCGAAGTCGGTCTAAGTAGCTCTAGGGCGGCTGAGACCATGATCCATCAGCAGTAACTTTGGACAGGTGAAGCATCTATCCGCGATAGCATCGAATCGGGCTTTGCAACACAAATGAGCCAATGGAAACAGAGCGAGAGCATCTAGCCGTAGGAGCTCCGTCTCGATCTATGCCGGGCTTCTCTCCTAGATCGTTTGCACGAACGTGGTCGGTACTTCATCGGTGCATACTGTCTAGGGATACTTCTTTGCGCCCGCTGCGCCCGCTGAACCAAAGGTAGCCATGGGCCATCGCCCACTTGACGCGGGACGATGGCCGAGAAGTGCCTACGCAGTGTGTCCACAGCCAAACT